ATCACGCGGCGGAGCTGAGGATTCCCGTGTTCGTCATCATGCCGGCGCACAGTTCTCCTCCACGCCTGCGCATGTACCGCGACTACGGGGCCATGGTCATCTCGTACGGCAGCACGGCTCGAGACTCCAGCAACCACGCCAGACACCTGGCCAAGGAGAACGGATACCTGTGTCTGGAGGAGTGAGTCTGACGCAAAAACACTTTCCGGATCCGCCCCGCATCCGGCACGCCTTGAATCCAGATGTGAGCCGGATCTGGGCCGACACTGTGTTACTGTCTGGGTTCGTTTAGTGTTCCAGGTCAAAAAATGCTTCTCTCATTTTGCTATATTATCAGCAAATATTGGATTCAATCTTCTCGTTTTCTTTCAGTTCGCACAGGTTTAGTGTTTCTCTTTGGATCTGATTGATCTGAGCTCATTCGCCTCAGTTTATTTGAGCTTGAGCTCCGATCATTGAGGCACAAAGAAACACAACACCTGTGGTTACAGAATGAAAACAAGAAGATTGAATCCAATATTTGGTAATAAGAAAGTATTACAAGAGATTATGGCCCAGACGGCAACATAGTGTCGGTCCAGACAGCAGTGACTGTCTGTCTGGGTGTGATCTCACTGGGTCATTTCACTCACCTTCATCTTTTCTAGTTCTTATCGATCCTGTCTGTGGCCTCGTCTGATGTTTTTAGGATAAACCCTTCAAGATGATAAATGATAGACACAGACACAAAGATCCTCTTGAGTGACTCAAAGATCTGGACACCCAGAGAGCAACATGGTGTCGGCCCAGATCCGGCCCACATACGGTACGCGCTGAATCCACGTTCCTGGGCCGACACCATGTGCTGTCTGGGATAGTAAAGTGTCCGTGTGGCGTGTGTATCAGCACAGCTGTGATCATCTCTCCCACAGGGACGAGAGCGCGGTGTACCTGGCAGGTCTGGGCACCGTGGGTCTGGAGATCTACGATCAGATTCCCGCGCTGGACGCCGTGATCGTGCCCACCGCTGGAAGCTGTGCCCTCCTGGCCGGAGCCGCACTCGCCATCAAACACCTGAACCCTCGCATCGCTGTCATCGTGAGTCTCATCTACACTGGGATAAAGCTGAAATTAACTCATGCACACACTGCAAAAAATGCTTTTCTACTTTGTATTTTTGACTTGTTTCCAGTCCAATTATCAAACATTTCTTAATTTTCTCACTTAATTTTGATTTAGTCCCCCAGAAAACAGGACATAATATCTTATGCCATTTTACTCGTCTAGTAAATGCTTCTTGATTTAAGAATTTTTTGATATTTGGTCCGGATCTGGGCCGTGTTGAATCCGCATGTTCCGGATGTGGGCCGGATCTGGGCCGTGTTGAATCCGCATGTTCCAGATGTGGGCCGGATCTGGGCCGTGTTGAATCCGCATGTTCCAGATGTGGGCCGGATCTGGGCCGTGTTGAATCCGCATGTTCCGGATGTGGGCCGGATCTGGGCCGTGTTGAATCCGCATGTTCCAGATGTGGGCCGGATCTGGGCCGACACCATGTTGCTGTCTAGGTTTTGAATATAATGGCGAGTCTCTCGTGGATCTTGTGTTTGGTACAGGGTGTTGAACCCGAGGAGTTTCCACTTCTTCTGCAGTCGCTCAAATCTGATTCCCCCATCAAAGATCTCTACTGCAACCCCAACAAGAAGCTCTACAGAGGTAAAGTCTCTCTCACACACACACACACACACTTCTGCTTCGTCTGAGTCTGTTCTGATCCTTCGCTGCTCACTCAGATTTGGTGGATCACTCTCTGGGAACACACACCTTCCAGCTGGCCAAGAAACTGGTGGATAAAGTCATTTCTGTCAGGTGTGTTGAAGCTCGTTAGCTGAACAGGCAGATCATTCAGCTTTTTTAAGTAACTCACTTCATTTTGATTAATTCCACTGGAAAATAAGGCATAAAATCTAGTAAATGTATCTTGAGTTAAGAATTTTAAGACTGAAAACAAGACAAAAATACTAAGTAAGAAAAGCATTTTTGCAGTGCATTAAAAATATAAAGCAGCGCACGCTTCTCTTCAGGGAGTCGGACGCGCTGGTGGCCATGCTGCGGTTCCAGGAGTTCGAGCGCGCCACCGTCGACACCGAAGGAGCCTTGGGTCTGGCCGCCATCTTAGCGGGACACCTGCCAGAACTCAAGGGCAAAAGGTGCTAAAGCCCCTCTCTTCATTAGCATCATTAGCATTATTAGCTTCATTAGCTTCATTAGCATCATTAGCTTCATTAACATCATTAGCATTATTAGCTTCATTAACATCATTAGCTTCATTAGCTTCATTAGCATCATTAGCTTCATTAGCATCATTAGCATCCTAACCGGGACACTCGCGGTGAGAAGCCGTGTTAGCGGAGGGCTTCATCAGCCGGCGGACTGAACTTTAGAGATCTACTGAACAGAATCTGCTTCAGAAAGCAAACACGAGCTGCACTTGATGGACGCGTTATATATATTAATGCATTCTCATCCGTCTATGCCTATATTAACTAGAATACTGTTTATGGGAATTACTATTGATAAATTAAATGGTAGCACTTTAACAACAAGGTCTTATTAAACTCATTTAATGCATTTAGTGGCGAGGCAAACTGACTGAAGGTCGTCTTGTTTACTGAAATATCAGCCAATGGAGATAAATAATCCTGTTTCTCTTTGAGTCACGAGTGTTTCTGACTCCACTGGCAGATATTTCACTTCATTTTAATGCAGTTTTCATTAAAGAGGCTGAATATCTCCAGTCTTCTCGCTTCTTCTCCAGTAAATGCCTTTACAAAACCCCTGATAGCTTCAAGGGGAAGTAGTTTAACTGGAGTGTGTGTGTGTGTGTGTGTGTGTGTAGGGTGGCGGTGGTGGTGAGCAGTGCAAACATGGAGCTGGACCTGACCCTGCAGTGTGTGGAGCGAGCGCTGGTTCTGGACGACAGAGTCTTTCGCTTCACGGTCCAGCTGACGGACTGGCCAGGAGACATGACCAAACTACTGGACCTGCTGACCCGAGAGGACGTGCGGTGAGCACACACACACACACGCACACACACACACACACACACACACACACACACACACACACACACACACACACACACACACACACACACACACACACACTCACTGTCTCTCTCTCTCTCTCAGGTTGCTGGATGTTTGCCACAAACGCTACAGTGAAAAAGCTGAGCTCTTCAAAGCACAGGTCAGAGGTCACTCATTTCCACTCTCTCGTGTCTAGTGTGTGTGTGTCCGAGAGTCAGCCGGGAAATAGAGTTAATATTCCAGTAATTCCACACGTTTACATGTTCATGTTTCTCTCATCACTGTTAATGTTCACATGACACACCTGAACAAACATTTAATGGAGTTCATTTAACAAAAATAAAATATAAAAAACCCCACTAAAATATGGAATAAAAAAAACAAATAATTAATTTTAAGAACATTGGCAGACATGTTCTTTCAGCATAAACTCACTTCATTTTTCATCAGATAACTGTTTTGCAGTGTTTAGTGTTTTATTTTAAAATGATTAATTTTACCTAATTTCTATTCTTTGATTTGACATTTTTCTTTAAATCACTATTGTTTTTTCATCAACTCATGATCTGGTTTTATATTACATTACATTTACATTTAGTCATTTAGCAGACACTTTTATCCAAAGTGACTTACATCTGAAGACTAAACCAAGCGAGTCGTCGTGAAGAGGAAAAAACAGCTCAAGAACTGCTCAAAACACACTTCAGACTATCCTCAGAACAGCATACACCAGATATAGATATAGATATATATAGGCGGGTGACCAACGTCCTGTTTTCATATAACAATATAACCATTTTCTATCCATACAGAGGAGGCATAACCTAGATTTAAATGAAATTAATAAGGTATCTTTGAGTAAACTTCGAGTATCATTTGAGTAGGCCCATCTGTTTGCCAGGCCAAGTGTCCTGGTTTTTGGTAATTAAACTATGGTCACCCTATATATATATATATATTTTTTTTTACATTAAGTGCTCACGGAAGAGATGAGTTTTCAGTTCCATATACATTTACATATTATTAAGTGCCGTGGTGTGAGATGTGTGTGTGAAGGGTTTGTAGAGTACCTGTGTGTGTGACGCTGATGTGATCCTCAGGTGGAGTGTGTCGTGGAAATGAGGGACAAAAGTCAGAACTCACAGCTGAGACGAACACTGTCCGAGCGATATCCATCCCTGCACTGGCTGGAGCGGTGATACACACACACACACACACACACAAACTTACACTCTTACTCACACAAGCTCAGTCTCACACACACACACACACACACTGAAGAAGGGATTATTATTGGATGTGCTGTAGACGGGAGGGCTGAGCTGAACATAACTTTATTAATAAACCTTAAAAATAAAGATTATCCTGTATTTATCAAACTCTGACTGATGTAATAAACTCTGGAGAAGATCAAATCAGCAAACTACAACCCTGAACAGAGAGCGAGAGAGAGAGTGTGTGTGTGTGTGTGTGTGTGTGTGTGAGAGAGTGCGAGAACCCTGAACAGAGAGAGAGAGTGTGTGTGAGAGAAAGAGAGAAAGTGAGAGAGGGAAAGAGAGAGAGAGAGTGAGTGTGTGTGAGAGAGAGAGAGCAGTGATTAGAGTTTAAATCTCATTAGCTGAGACTGTTTGACCACATCACAGAATCCCACACACACATCCTGAACACACACTCACACACACACACACACACACACAGTTCCTGGAGGAGCAGAATATGAACATGTGACGTCCTGCTTCTGTGAAAATATTTCAGAATGAAGCGTGTGTGTGTGTGTGTGTGTGTGTGTGTTTAAAGCAGATCAGACATCAGCGAGTGTGTGATCAGAGATCCTCATGTTCAGGGTTACACTCCCGATCACACACTCGCTGAGGTCTCTGTTATGAGTGTGTTTCTGTATATTGAGTGACAGACGACACACACACACACACACACATTTCAGATCAGTTTATTCTCCATCTGTTTAAAACACTCGCGGCGCTGGAGTCCAGATTACAGAACACACACACGGAGTTATGAATCTGTTCATAATATGTTATTTAAAAAAAAAAAAAAAAATTTTTTTAAAAAGTAAATCTCATAATACTGTTCCCGGGGAAATATACTATAATAACACTAAAGCCTTTACATGTCATGCAGAATACCAGATCTGTGGTGATGTTCATTAGTGAGAACACTTATGTAATATTAATTTAACATTGACTAATACAGTATTAAAATCAAAGGTTGTGTTAGTTCTCATCAGTTACTGCAGTCAGATAACATGAGATCAACATGAGCTGGAACTAATGAATCACTCGTTCAGTTAATATTCACTAATGAACTCTATTATAAAGTCTTACTGATTTTGTTCTGCCTTCTTCGTATGATGTCATGAATAACTGTTACACTTTAAGAATATATAATGCATTAAAACACAAACATACAGTTTTAAATCACAAATATTAGAATGCAATTTTTCTGAAAAGACGTAATGCATGAACGTAAAGGCTTTAGTGAAGAGTTACAGCAACACGGATCAGGCCCACATCTGGAACATGTGCAGTCCGGCCAACACACACACACACACACACACACACACACACACACACACACCGGATGTGGCGAGTCCGTGTTGCTGTCTGGATATGGGTCATAACGTTTCCGTGATCACTGCAGGTTCATGTACACACACACGTGTGTTGTGATGTTTAATGCACTGACTGCTGAGACCAGTGCATGCAGGGAGATGAAGAGCAGTGCATGCTGGGAAAGGGCTGTGCCGTCTCACTGGCGCTTGGATCGGCCGTCGGGTTTGTATTTGAGCAGAATACCGAGAGATGCGAATCCAAAGAAGAAGGTCTGAACAAACCACAGCAGACGAGCGGACGAGCTGTTGATGCCTTTATCACTGCACACACACACACACATGATGTCAATCTTCATTTATGCACACAGATTCTTGTCATGTAAAGTTTTATCACAGTCAGTGTGAAGATGATCTGCACTGCCCCCCTGTGGCGGAACACGTGGACTGTCACACGCACACACACACACACGCACACACACACACACACACACACACACACACACCTCACCTGCAAACCTTCAGCGCAAACAGGGCCTCGAATGTATGAATGATCCATGTCAGATACCATCTGAAACACACACACACACACACACACATCATCAGACTCTGAGAGTTTTCTGAGTTCTCTGTTTTTCATGAGAACGTGATTTGACCCTCTGGTGCTCGTCACGTGAGTTGTGTGTCATGCTGAAGTAAAACCAGGTCAGACGGTTCTCTCCTCCACACTCGCCACTAGGGGGCGGTAATCAACCACATGACATTTAACCATATCACTACATGTATTTTTTATTTAAATTAAATTGATGTATTATACTATAGTTTGATAATGTTTTTAAAAAATATTTTTTGTATTTTTAGGGGATTTTATTGATACTAAATTATATTTACACTGTATTATTTTTGATCATAGACCTGAAAATGAAAAGTCCAGTTTAAAGGGATAGATCACTTTGAAATTAATTTTTGATATGTTTTATCTTACCTCAAGGGCATCCAAGATGTAGCAGGTGTCTTTGTTTCCGCAGGATTTTCAGTTTTAATATTTTTAGGTCAAACCGTTCTTGTCTGTCAGTCATATATAATGCAGGTCTATGGTCACCACCTCAAAGAGCACTTCTGAAATCTGCGAAAACATTAAGTGACGTACACGCGCGAGAGATCACTTACGGCGCATGTGCAGATCGGTTGTGGTTACAAGCCGCTCGTTTCGTGTCTTAGACCATCAATGTGTACATTCATCACGAGTCATTAAATCATGTTTAATTTGGACTTCTCTGTGCTGCTCTTTGAGGTGGTGACCATAGACCTGCATTATATGACTGACAGACAAGAACGGCTTGACCTAAAAATATCAAAATTGAAACTACTGCGTATTTTTGAAAGAGATTCACACAATCTTTCTGTAATGTGACATCATGATTGATGCGTGACGTGCGCTGGGTTTGGATTCACTCACCCGTAATACAGAACCGGATAATGAGAGTCCACTAAGTGTTTGGCGAGAGCGCCGAGAGGACCGAGACTGCTGTACGGGACGCCCTGAGGCCAGAACACCGTCCACTGCAACACACAACACAACCACTGCTGAGTGTGTGTGTACGGGACACACACTAATCCGACTCCTAAACCTACCCATCTCTCACACACACACACTAACCCGACCTATCACAAACAACTTTCTGCATTTTTACATTTTCCACACACACAAAAAAGGTTTATTAATCAATTTTCCTCCTGAGGTCCAGCAAAGTACTGAATCTCACGTTTTACTATTCTTTTGGTCCTCAGAAGTACAGCAAAAAAAAAACACACACGAACACACACACACACACACACACACACACACACACACACACACACACACACACACACTCTTGTGATCATTCTTACTCTCTCTCTCTCTCTCTCTCACACACACACACACACACACTCTTGTGATCATTCTTACTCTCTCTCTCTCTCTCTCTCTCTCACACACACACGCACACGCACACGCACACGCACACGCACACACACACACACACACACACACACACACACACACACACACACACACACACACACACACACACACACACAGGGTTGATCTGAAGTGAGTGTAATAAGGGTCATGATAACAGCGCAAGACTTTGGTCAGAACATGTAACCCACTGAGATAAAGTCCACTCTAATGACCAGTTCGTGTTCATTACTCCTCATAATCATGAGTTCGCATATTCTCAGCATTAGAATGAAAAACATTTCATTACACTCAGAACTAAAACAGCTTTACATTCAGTAAAACAGTCAACAACAGTCATAACACTCACCATTTCGGCTTTCCGAAAACCTCAACATTTAAAATTATTTATTTATTTATTTTATTTAAAATTGTTTAACAATCAAAATTATTTATTAAATGCACTATGTATACACACACACACACACACATATATATATATTTTTTCAAAAAAATGAAGTTTGTATTACAAATAAAGTAAAGCATAGTATAAAACTTTAAAAGTAATACAGAATAAAAGTCTTAACTTACATGTTGAATGAATGAATAATTCATTAAAGTTTCAACTTACCGTGTAAAACCCCAAAGCACCCGCCACGATCACGATCCAGAACACACTGGATCTCCTGAAATATGAGGAGCTGTCACTTTTGGCCATGATGAAGATGATCAGTCAATAACTACTGACTAAACCACTGGAAACTGCACTAGTGTTTGCTCTCAGCAGCCTCAGTCACGGCACAGGAAATGACGCAACAGAAGCGTCACAGAATAAAAGTCCCGCATTCAGCCGTTTCTCAATATGCGTACTACTTGTCTGTACTTGTGTTCTTGTGGACTTGTGAAACGTCATCAGTCGCTGCCCAAGTACTGTTCCAATTCAAAGTTCACTTTTTTTTTATTGAACACACTTATTTACAACAACAACAACAAAAAACAATTTACAAAATCTCTCGTTGGGAGACTCATGTGCATAACATAAACAGTTACATTGAACAAAAATCCAATAAACAAAATAAAAACAAATAAACTTAAAATGAAATCAATTAAGCCAAGGCATTTCAGTCCATAAGGCATGTCAAAGTTATTCACATATAAATATTATCCTCAGTCTTCATATAATCATAAAATAAAGTTACATGGAAGCTTTACAAATTATAATGACAAATATTTTGAGACATCTTCTGAGGCTGTTTTGTCTGATGCCTAATTGTACGAGACCTGACATTGTTTTTCCTGAGACCTGAAACTTTTCAGTCTGAGGCGTGATGCCGTTTTGTCCAATAACTGAAGCCTTTTAGTCTGAGGCATGCCTTGTCTTCATATGTGAGGTCTGAGGATGTCCTAAAATGTACACCGTACTACGTCTCTGATCTCTCGAGTCTAGTGGATAAACCTTGACGTATAATAATTCGTCTTGTGTATAAGTCTATCTTTGGTCTCATAGATAGTTTGTTCCATGGCAAAAAAAAAAAAAAAAAAAAAAAAAAAAAAAAGAGTTTTTGAGGTTTCATAACTTTATGTCTATTTAACTTTAACAACATTTTTTATATTATCTTCACTATATATGAACAATAAAATAAAATGACATAACCCTGTCTCTGTTTGATAAATGTCAACAAAAATCAATGTTTCATATTTTTAAAATGAAAACAAAAAGACCATGTACATTTTGTTATATGCAGTGACGAGAATCGCGTTGCCTGAACCACATGGCCATTAGGCTAATATTTAGTTTTTTTGTTAATGAAAAGAGTCAGAGTGGTGTTTTATAACATATTTCGTTTTATTGTTGACGAAAAGATGCAGAGTTGTAGGAAATGTTGTTTTCTTGTTGCCTAAAATATGCTAAATAAAGAGATAACCGGAGTACAGCGTGCTGCTGAGTGACGCGATCGAGTACACTCTGTTCCATCTGCAGAAGAACCGGACTTGCGTCCTCTCGAGTTCGTTCTCCTGAGTCGAACTTGGCAAGTCTGAACTACCAAGGACGCAAGTCCGAAGTCTGCGTAGGCCTACTTGGTATTGAGAAACGGTTTATGTTCTGCAATACAAATTAAAATGCCACTGGAAATATTCTTAAAAACACATTTAGAAGATCAAAATAGCCAACATGACATAATCTAATGTTAATGTACCAAAAATTACAACAGTAGCCTACGATATCTGCACGAAAATAGAGGTAATACTCCAACACTGTTTATACAATTATAAACAGCACTACATAGCCTATTTAGAATGAAATAAGCACTCCATGTCCTAGTTTGAGTGGGGTGGTATATATATAGGCCTATATATATATATATATATATATTTACCACAGTACATTATAAATTCACAGTGAACAGGGAAAGGCGTGACAAGATTCATTTTTTATTACAAAACGGTCTGTACATTTACAGTGTCAGAAAAAAACTTAAATCACACAATAATCCAAGTCCTTACAACAAAATAATCAGTGTTACTCTCACACAATCTCTCAAATACTCTAAAACTAACTTCAAAAACATTTCAAACACACGCGCGCAGTGATCAGCTCTGTGACGTCAGCATCACGTGTCATTCAAGGTAAAATTAGAAGAAAAAGAGTAAAATAATAATAAATAAAAAAATAGGGAAAAAAGACTTAAAGAACAAAAGGATACGTCATTCTACTGTCCTAAAATAATGGCGTTCCTGATATCTTGTGAACTGAAGATCTGAATCGAGACGAGATGATTAAAACACTCAAGAGCACTCACGAATCTGAAGTAAACAGCAGGACGATTTCAAGAGACACGTGATAGGAAACAGAAACTAGTTTGAATTAAAAATCAACTCGTTTGTTGAGTATAATGTAAAGTGATTCACAATGTATACTCTATAGAACAGCAATCCGAGCGTTTGATTGGCCGGCAGTGACGTCACACAGTTCAGGCTTCAGGATGAGTGAAAGAAAGGAGGAAGAAAAAAAGAAAAAAAACTCAAACCTCTTTCTCTCTCTTTTAATTGTATTTCTAGAGGCGATTTGGCACAATCATGTTACAAAAGAGAGAAAAAGAGTTAACACTGTATAAATCAATATAATATATTTATATTAAATTAATTTACATAGTGAGTCAAATATCTAATTTCATAAGCAAAACGGTTACAATGTATACAAAATATCTATAAAAAACAACAACTGCATGCCATCGCACAAACAGGCAAAAAAATCTCAAATATTAAAAAACAGGCTATGTACAATTCCAAATGTCTCGTCTAGTTTTCACAAAGGCCAAATGAGTTTTACCCAGCATCCCTTACACACACACACACACACACACACACACACAAGAGCTGCTGTAAAGCCAAAACAATCTGTTCTATGGGCTCTATGCACGGCGTTATTTCCGGTGAAGGATTAAGGATGCTCGATAACTTCCGCCGATCATAGTCCAATGCAATACCGAGAATTTATATTGAATTTTATACTCCATGGTTATACTAATGAAACGTTAGTCACAAAAACAGATAAAACAGACACCCCTCGTTGTGTTTATGCTTCTTTTAAAAATTATATTAAATAAACATAACTATATATAAAATTACATCTAAACGTATGTACGTTTCGTTTCAAAGACGGGAGGACAGTAAATATTGAAGACTCTGCCATAATCCCGTTTTCCTCTGCTTTTCCTCCGCTTTAATCTCCACAACCGGAAATGGACGAGCATCCTTACGTCAAATGCGGAACTTATGCGTGCATATAGACGCTTTCATCAGACGCGTTGCCATGGTGATGAGCTGGCCCAAAGTTAACTTCCGTTCTGTTCGTTTATTAGCGTTTACTGGATAATATGGCATTGACTACAAATGCAGTGAAAGTTAAGGTGATGAGCAGGTTGTTGAGCTGTGGGGTGCAACCTGACCTAGGGAGCAAACGCAATTTTTAAAAATAAAAATGTCAAGGTTTTCATATGAGGGAGAGAGCGGTATTAAAATAGCCTATGTTTATCTGAGTGATAACCGGTACAGTGTTTCCCATACATTTATTTGTGGCAGCCCACCACATTATCAGCGCTGACCGCCACATATTGATTTCCGTGTTTTTAACAATTTAAGATGGGAAAAGTTGTAATTGACTGCAAAGTTGCGTGCAGCGCATATTCGCACGCTCTCTCTCTCTCGCAAACACATTGACAGCAGACCAGTCTGTGTATTGAATGGTTAGTATCATAAACAGCGCTGCACAGATCCATCCAACATGCTGTCAATGTGGAGACCCACCTTAAAAAAAGGTTAGCAAGCATGTAAGAAGCCTAGCTAATAAGGAGAGCTATGTTAACCTTATCAAACCCCGCCGTCGCGCTCGCCACAGTTTTTTTAACACTGCGGTAAATCAGACACGTCGGTAGAACATCTTGTCTCCAATTTTGTTCAACGGGTCTGGCAGTGTCACATTTCAGTTTGGCCAGGTAACATTTATTTTCTTTGACTGGCAAGAAATACCAGCTACTAGATTATTTACTTGTTATGGATTGTCTCCGCAAGTCTGCCGGAAGTTAAGTTTGGGCCAGATTAATGCACATGCGCAGTACCGTTTGTTTATGTTGTCACTGCTGAAAGCGTCTATAGCCCATTATGGCTCGTTTCCACTGAGGGGTACGGTACGGTACGGTACGGGTCGGGTACACCGTGATCAGGCTTGCGTTTCCACCGCCAACAGTACCCTTACTTGATAGGCGTGGTATGCTGGAAAGAAGCGATCGACGTCATTTTCGCGCGAAGACAGCGACATATAAACAACAATGGATGACAGACAGCAGATCTTGTTCTTGCTTCTCGGCATGTTTGTCACTAGAAACAAGCGCTGGCATTAGGCGTTTCCAAGAAGCCAACGCAAAGTCCGACTCAGGAGAATGATCCCGAGGACGCGGGTCCAGTAATGCTGTTAATGGAACAGCACGTTCTTGAGATCGGCACTCTGCTCGCTCTGGTTATCTGTATGTTCATTTTAGGCTACAATAAAACGAAATATGTTCTAAAACACCACTCTGCTTCTTTTCGATTTCATTTCAATACATTTTAAACATTCTAAAGCACACAAATGTGGTTCAGGCAACGCATAGCCTATTGATTATACTCACTGCATATAGGCCTATGTAACGTTATATTTATAACAAAACTAAATATAAAACAACCCTGCCTCTTTTCGTTTAAATGTAAAAATATTAAACATATTCCAGGCAATGTGTAATGCAATGTATTGCATATCGCATTGGTACAAATGTTGCAATAAACAACAGATGATCTTGTAATAAAATTTAAAAAATGACAAAACTATCTCTTTTTGTTGAATTTCAGTTTTATCAATAATAGCCATTATAAAAGTATAAGTAAAAGGTACAAAAAGATATACAGTAAAGCTTTAATAACCTCAAGAAACAATTCAGTCAGTCAAATATACAAATTCAGAGCTCAAAGATATGAAACTTCACGTAGCCTTCTGCCAAAACTATTGGCCAGGGAACGAGTTAAAGATTCACGAGACCAAAGATCCCCTGTTAGGTTTATACAAGACGAACTATATCTCATGTTTAACCACTACAGAGACATCCGAGTCAGCGCCAAACATCAGAACGACTCGCCGAGGAAAGGCTGTTCCCGGCGGGGGACACGATCGCTTGGAATGGATCTCAGTCAAATTATCAAAAATCTATAAATAAACCACAGATTTGAGCTTTAAAAAGCTACTTTCTCGCCTGAAAAACTCTTAAAACTACATTTCGTGACATAATAACAGTAGAATTATATTTCAACTGTATGCTTCTATGCCGTTGTAGCACGCGCGAGGGACGATACTCTGTCCACCAATCAGCGTTCTGCAGTGAGTCTAGCTCCACCTTTTAGTACCGTATCTCTGTGCTAGGTACCCCAACGGAAGGGTACCCCAAAAGTGGTACGGTTCGACTTTTTGGTACCATTCACAACTTTTGACAGTGGAAACGCAAATAATTGCGTACCGAACCGAACTGTACCGTACCGTACCGTACCGCTCAGTGGAAACGAGCCATTACTTTCCTATTATCACTGTAAAGCTGCTTTAAAACAATATTGTTAAAAGCACTAAATAAATGAAGGTGACTAAACACACTCTCTCTCTTTCACACACACAAACTTTTTTAATTTATTAATTAGAATATAAATTTAACTATGATCAATGAAAATGTAGCCATTTGCTTCAGCAAGTTATTCTACTGTTATGAATGTGTGTGTGTGTGTGTTGACATATGAAGACATGAGATGATCTTGTGCTCAGCCATATAATGATGTTTCATGAGATGAACTGAAGACTCTTTGTGATCTTTCTCATCATATGAGCAGTCATGTGATCAACAGAGATGGAGAGATTTGGTGTGTGATTTACACTAGAGGTGTGTATGCAGCTCAACTCCTTCACTGGAGTGTGTGAAGAACTGTGTCGGAGGAAACTAACTGGAGTTGATCTGCGGACCGACTCGCTTTATCTCAAATAAACCAGACGTCAAAACATCGGGACCCTGAGAGAGATTTTACAAAGAAGCGACAACATCATCACACACACACACACACACACATATATACACACACACAAACTCGACCCCTAATTCTACCCACCCACACACACACACACACAATCTGACTTCATCTCATTCATTGTGCTGCGGAGGGACTGATCGTCCTGAAGAATCACACACACACACACACACACCAGTGACATACTGTATAAAGCTCAATCTCAGAAAGGCATTAATAAATAGTGTCTTCAGTTGCTCTTGGTGTCCAGATTGACGAGCTGAAGCTCTGAGACGCTACTGGTGCCGCTGGACTGACCAATCACCATCTGAGGAGACACACACACACACACACACACACTTGGGTCAGATCATCTACATCACACTCCAGGACCATCACAATCTGTCGTCTGCACACACACACACACACACACACACACACACACACACACACACACACACACACACACACACACACACCACACACACACACACACACACACACACACACACACACACACACAAGCTCGACTGAACCCATTTCAGTCAGTTAGTTCCAGTCCGTGAACACACACTCCATCCTCAACAGTGTGTGAGATTAGAACGAGTGTGTCCTAAAGCACAGTGTGTTGAAGTGTGTGTGCCAGAAGTCTCGGGATACTCTGTGTGGATCTGAGCTCGCTATAACAGATAATATTACCCACAATCCACAGCAAAAACATGTATGTAATGTTCTCCATGTTATAGCTCATGTGGACTTTAATTAAGACTCGTTTGGACATTAATATGAGGAGAGTCAGAGGGACAGGAAATTAAATCAAATGTGGAGGATTATAACTGTGAAAGATGATTGACAGGTCAGTGTGTGTGTGTGTGTGTGTGTCCCACAGCTCGTGTACTTCTGCTACACACTCTAAAGTACACACTTTTCTTCTCAAAGAGAGCACACACTGTTAGGGCGCAGTGCAAGTGTGTGTGCAGGCCTGAAGTGCTCATGCATCGTCACAGCGCCGCCTGCAGGCCACGGTGCATTAGTGCAGTGAGATGCATGCTGGGTAACGAGAGAATATTGAGTTTTTCACTTGTGAAGTGTTGATCTTGCCGTACTGGATGAAGCTGCACCGCCGAGACGGGAATCTGAACCGTTCCAGGAGGAGCCGTGAGGAACACCTGCGGGACACCACCTGAACACACACACACACACACACACACACACACACACACACAGGTTTTTATACGGTACAAACTGTATATTCTTTCCTTACACTAACCCGACCCCTAACCCTACCCATTACACACACACAAGCACACACACACACACACACCTGTGTCCTGCGTCTGGGCGTGCGACACCGGCCCCTGTGAGAAGGCGTTGAGCACCAGACCTCCGTCCGCCAGCGTGGGACCCGACGTGTACATCACCGTGTGTGAGCTGGGATACATCATGTGACCTGCCATGGACGTGGGCACCGACGTCGTGACGATGGTTGCCGGGAGACTGACTGTGGCTGAGAGAGAGAGAGAGAGAGAGAGAGTCACTCATACACACTGAGCAGCAGATGGCGCCATCACACACACACACACACACACACACACACACACACACACACACACACACACACACACACACACACACACACGATGAAGGTTCACCTGTGGACACTGTGTTGATCTCCGGACTGCTGTCAGCGCTGCTCGACTGGACCTGGATCTGCTGCGGCATCGCCCCGCCTGACACATTCATTATAATAAACAACAATATATACAGATTTTCCATTCATTACTAGTTAATAAACTTTAATATTAAAATAAATATATAATATAATAATAAAACATAGAAACAGGTTCTGTGTATCTGTAAGAAAAATATAAAAACTATTTTATTAATATAATAAATATATTAACATTTATTCATTCATTTTTAATAAAAGTAAATACATATTTACATGGAAACAGGTTCTGCTTCTGTAGTAAAAAATCTATTTAAATTTAATTCTTTTTTTTTCTTCTTTTTATAATACAATTAACATTAGTCATGTGACGGATTAATCCGGAGATCTTACAACTGATGTCAAAAACAGATTTGATAATAATATTAAAGGGTTAGTTCACCCAAAAATGAAAATTAAGTCATTAATTACTCACCCCCATGCTGTACCAACCCCGTAAGACCTTCGTTCGTCTTCGGAACACAAATGAAGATATTTTTGATTAAATTTGAGAGCTGTATAACTACCACATTGGCTCCTAAGGGACTGCCTCTTGACGGCCCAGAAAGTCAATGAAGAAAATGTTTAAATATCCCAAGTGACTACCGTGGCTCAACTATATGTTTATCAAGCGACGCGAATACTTTTTGTGCGAAAAAACAAACAAAAATAACGAGTTTATTCGACTATTTCTTTTCTTCCTTGTAGGCCAGAACGAGACTTCCTTAGATTTCCACGACGCATGCGCGAGAATTGCGATCTGCTTACGCCAGCTTACAGTACTTCAGATCGCAATTCTCGCGCATGCGTCGTGGAAATCTATAAGGAAGTCTCGTTTCTGGCCTACAAGGAAGAAAAGAAATAGTTGAATAAACTCGTTATTTTTGTTTGTTTTTTCGCACAAAAAGTATTCTCGTCGCTTGATAAACATATAGTTGAGCCACGGTAGTCACTTGGGATATTTAAACATTTTCTTCATTGACTTTCTGGGCCGTCAAGAGGCAGTCCCTTATGCCGAGTTCAGACTGCATGATTTTAGCCACGATTTTGGCTCGCCGACAGGTTTTGAGAAATCGCCGACAAATGCCCGAAATCACAGGCAAATCGGCGCTCGTTCACGCGAGTGACAATCACGCAGTGTGAATGAACAAAGACGCGAACTGAGAGAATCACCGACAAGTCGCCGACGCCCATGAGATATTTGGCATGCTAAATATCTGGACCTGTCGGCGATTCAAAATCCTGCTGTGTGAAAAGTGTTTTGACTGAAAACTACATCGGCGATCACCGGCAGCCAGTGAGAGAGCAAGATACAGAGCAGCAGGGAGTTCGGGGAGGAGTTATAGATCACATATCAACATGATATGGCATTGTTTCAACAAAAAAAGCTTCTTCTCGGTCTATTTGGACACAATAAATGTCAGAAAAATTAGTAGAAATTTGGCAGGAGCACTGGTGTCTGTTTCACCAGCTGTACCACAACCGGGTCGAAAAAAAAAAGTCTCACATGAGAACTCCGGTCTTGCACGTGTGGTGTCGCGCGTTATTTCCTTTTCATATCTCACGCGTGTTTGTTGTGAAATGTAGTTTGCGTGCAGCGTGCTAGACAGAGTCTGTCGGCGATTTTTCTAAAGTCATGCAGTGTGAAACCTTCTGTCGCCGATCCATCGTCCAGTGTGAACACAGCAGCGACTGAATGCTGGCCAAGATAGTCATGCAGTGTGAAAAGAGCAGCGACCTGACTACTTTGAAAATCGTGCAGTCTGAAAGAGCCATTAGGAGCCTATGTGGTAGTTATACAGCTCTCAAATTTAATCAAAAATATCTTCATTTGTGTTCCGAAGACGAACGAAGGTCTTACGGGGTTGGTACAGCATGGGGGTGAGTAATTAATGACTTAATTTTCATTTTTGGGTGAACTAACCCTTTAAAATAGTGCAGCAAATGTGGTAATCTGAAACATGACTCCGCCCACTAGTGGGAGGAGCCGACAGTCCTATCGGATTTCACAGGATGAGTCTGGAGTCTTTAAACTTTTGAACGTTGCTGAATGTATATTGATTCTGAAAGAGCATCAGATGGACACACACACACACACACACACACACACCGGTGAGCGAGACGGCGGCGGGCAGCCGGAACACAGTCTGTGATCCCTGAGATCCCTGAGGAGCCGGCGTGAGTGTGTGTGAGCCGGGCGAGTGCTGGAGCTGAGTCCCGGGAGCAAACGGAGAGCCTACACACACACACACACACACACACACGAGCGAGAGAAAAGGATATTTATAAGGTTAAAAAAAAAATTCAGTTTCAAATAAATCTGTTCTTTTCAACATTCTATTCACCAAAGAATAATGAAGAATAAAATGTATCAGTTTACATAAAAATATGAACACTGATAATAATCATAACTGTGTGTTGATCATCAGATCCTCATATTAGAGTGATTTATGAAGGATCATGTGACACTGAAGACTGGAGTAATGAGGAATAAATTACACTTTACTGGATATTCACATAGAAAACAGATGATTTACATTAGAATAATATTTCAATTTTACTGTATTTATGATTAGAAGAGACTCAAACGTTTTATCAGCCTTCACACACACCACAGTACTGCACGCACACACACGCACACACACACACACACACACCACTGCACAGTATGAAGACAATCATCATTCACAGTACAGATTGAGATGTACATGTGTATGTGTGTGTGTATGAGAGTGTGTGTGCGTGTGAGTGCGAGTGTGTGTGTGTGTGTGTGTGCGGCCGGTGCACAGCTGTGGTAGGGTGATCTACAGCAGCAGGTGTGTAAGGTGCAGATTGAGTCGCTTCTGCTGTGACTCCAACAGCTGCGACAGGAAACACACACACACACACACACACACTCGCAGGGAAACTGTCGAGATGTGAGCGGCGGTTCGACCGCATGAGCCAGAAATATCTCAGCCGGAGGAACCAATCAAACCCGCTCTTCCGCCTCAGAACACACTCAACACAGTTAATACACTCACACACTCAACACACACTCAACACACACTAAATACACACTCAACACACACTCAACACAGTTAATACACTCACACACTCAACACACACTGAACACACACTGAACACACACTGTCTCCGGCTGGACGGAAGCCACTGGCGCTCCTGACGCTCCTCCGGATGATCATGTGACCGAACGCCTCTGAATATTCGTTAGTGATTACAGGCTTTTGAACGTTCATGCAAATGATTCTCCACAATCAAAGACACTAGAGACGCATCTGTACAACAGCTGAGGTGAATGAACACTTCAAACACGACAACTCACACACACACACACACACTCACTCTCTCTCTCTCCATTTGTTGTTGTTCCCGAAGCGTTTCCCTCAGATATACGGCACAATAGAGGAGAAAAGAGCGTAACTTTCCTTTCATGCCGACATTAATGTGCCACGAGCAGTGACCTCTGACCCCGACACACACACACCTGACATGAAGGTGAATCCGCTGGGGAGCTGCATGACCCCTCCGGAGGCTCCCGAACTCTTCAGCACGGATCCGTTGGCGTTCCCGGGAGCCAGATAGTTGGTGATGGGGAAAGATGAGCCGCTGGAGGAGGCGGAGCTGCCCGGCACACTCGCCACGGTGAACGCCGGCTTCAGGCAGTCCTGCGGGATACACACACAGCTCCAGTCACATGACTCCGATACACCAGCTCATCTAACACAGGTTTCTTCTGCAGTAAAAGAGTCTTGATGTACAGTTCAGTATCTCTAAACTGCGACTGAAGATATTATTATGATCATTAATGTTAAGATTATAATTGACTGTAAAGCTGCTGGTGTGAAACTGCTACACAAACAGAACTGAATTATTAGAAAGCATAAGATAAAGAGAAAGTGTGTGTGACTGATCAATGATGATCAATGATGTCATGCGTGTGACTGATCAATGATGTCATGTAGGGCTGCACAATTAATCCAATTAATCATTAATTTTATTGATTGTATATTTTGAGTTTTATTCACATCCATTATGCCGGTACAACACAAGTTTATATTTTGCTTCCTAAAATATATGCACAAATACATGTAAAATAGTGCCGTTTTGAAGGTTTGCTACATTTTCTTTATAGTTTTATTTATTTCTATTTATTCTATAATGAAATGCACTGAATTGGTGAATAAGGACTGGTTTTATTTCATTTTGATGCAGATATCTGTACATTAGCAGGGACAGCACAACCTGGATGTGAAAGCAGTTCTAACAGATAATTAATCGTGATCTCAATATTGATCAAAATAATCATGATGATCATTTTGGCCATAATCGTGCAGTCCTAATGTCATGTTTGTGTGAACAAACAATATATTTCATTTACTAATATTCATATATAAAAAATAATAAATACTGTAGATAATGACTGAGTTACAGTCTGACTCACTGCTCATATATATATATATTGATAATAGTTATTAAATACAATAAGAGCCGCAAACCCTGCCGCTCGGATACAGTTTAATGTGCTCAGCTTTTATTGTGACTGGTTACCATGACGACCGCTCTCAAATCCCCATGAGCTGCACACACACACACACACACACACACACACACACACGCACAAACACACTCTTTTCAGGATCTTTAATGAACATAAAGTTCAAGAGATATTATTTATTGGAAACAGAATCTGTTGTCGTTATAAATGTCTTTGTCACTTTTGATCAGTTTAATGCGTCCTTGAGGAATAAAAGTATTAATGTGCATTTCAATAATGACCAGCATCTGATCTTCACTCTCACAGGACTGAGTGTGTGTGTGTGTGTGTGTGTGTGTGTGTGTGTGTGTGCTGTTATCGTGAGGTATTCGCTGATATTCTCCATGTATGTAACCTTGAGCTGAACAATCATTTAATTTCAGAAACTCACTGAACAACAAACACTGCAGATGAACTCAGTGTGTCGTGAGGACCAGCGTCTGCTTCTGAACCACACACACACACACACACACACACACACACACACACACACACACACACACACACACACACACACACACACACACACACACACACACACACACACAGAGAAACACTCACTAACACACACAGAATATCTCTTTCTCTCACTCTCTCTCTCCCACACACACACACACACACTTTAGTTTGAGTCGGACCTTGAACATCAATATTCCTGCATTACACACTCCAGCTGCATCTTAATCCCTCTCTAGTGTGTGTGTGTGTGTGTGTGTGTGTGTGTGTGTGTGTGTGTGTGTGTGTGTGTGTGTGTGTGTGTGTGTGTGTGTGTGTGTGTGTGTGTGTGGTGTAAGTGGTTCCTGAGCTGCGGTGCTCGTATTTCCTTACAGCTGTTTGTACCTTCAGCTGTTGTTCACACGCCTCCGTGTGTCTCTCTCACTCACACACACACACACACACACACACACACTAAACATCAGCATAAGGAAACACTTCTGATGTCACTACCTGTCTAATGGAGATGAAAACGATCTCATAGACCAGGTCATAGTTGTCACGGTTACGGTCACATCATTATCATCACCGACAGCACACACACACACACACACACACACACACACACACACACACACACACACACACACACACACACACACACGTCTGGAATTCACAGCTCCATTTGGGAACGGCTAAAAAAGGCAAGGCAGCCCAAGTTAGAACAGCAGCCAATCACCACTGACCCGAACCACACACACACACACACCTCTCCTGCGCTCAGACACACACACACACACACCTCTCCTGCGCTCAGACACACACACACACACACCTCCAGCGGTCGCATGAAACAAGTCTCCCTCATGAATCTACAGGACTGAAGGAGCGAGTGTGTCACATGACGTTCATGCTCTATTAAACACACACACACACACACACACACACACACACGTCTTTAAACAACAAACATTAGATCTGATTCATAAACGTATAAATCTGTTATTTTTAATAAACCAGTCAAAACATGTTCATGTTGAAGAGCAGACCCTGAGTCGCAGATGATGAACGACAGCAGCAGAGTGTGTGTGTGTGTGTGTGTGTGTGTGTGTGTGTGAGAGAGACAAACTAATCACTCTGCCTATGGTGTAAATCATCTCTAAAATTCTGCTCTCGTTCATCTCTCTCACGCACACACACACACACACACACACACACTCTCTTTGTCTCCTTCACACACACACACACACACACACACACACACAGGTCGGTTCATTAGTGTATATGTTGGAGGTGTGTGTGAGACGTGACGATGGAGGATTGGCATCGTAGCGCTGGAATGCTCTGCTAACGCCAGACCGAACATCAGTGTGAGGCGCAGAGAGAGAGAGAGAGAGAGAGAGAGAGAGAGAGAGTGAGAGACTGAGCAACACTTCCTGTTCAGCGGCTGAACTGTGAGGACAGTAGAGTGATCTCTGACTCTATACAGTAAACAACAACAACAACAACAACAACAACAACAACAATCAACATCTGAAGAGATCCTCACAGCAGCAGCCGATACACTGATACTGCTCACGGAGAGAGAGAGAGGCCACGACCAATCAGTGATGCTCCAACACACACACACACACACACACACCAAACAACAACAACAACAAAAAACACTTACACACTGTTTTCTAAATTCTTCACAGAATTTTTTAAATGTTCATAAACTGTACTTTTTTATTTTATTTTACACCGTTAATTTGTACAATTAATTTAATTTGTACATTTAGATGTTATAACGCTATAATATTTGACAGTTTTGATGTCTTTATAATTATTCCATGTATTCCAAGCTTTGGCAATATTGTGTGATGGACAGTCGTGACGACGATAACGCAATTCTGAACTGAGACAGAGAGTGTGTGTGTGAGTGAGTGTGTGTTTGTGACAGAGAGTGAGTGTGTGAGTGAGAGTGTTTGAGAGAGAGAGAGAGAGTGTGTGTGTGTGTGTGAGTGAGAAGAATACACCTGCAAATGGAGCTGAAAGTAATTAGTAAGTAACATCATATCACTGACCACCCTGAACACTCTCTCTCTCTCTCTCTCTCACACACACACACACACACACACACACACACACACAGCTGTGGATCCTGAGGAATGTGAGGGGCCTCTGCAGGAGTGCTGGGAAACTTCTCCTTATAAGGCCATGGACACAGAAACCAGCTTTATCAATGAGAGGAACACACTCGCCTGAGCAAACACACACACACACACACACACACTCGCCTGAGCAAAGCCACACATTCAAACTCACACACACACCTGACCCGACTCTGTTCGGGTTAATCTGAGAGACCGGCGGCTCGTGACGGATCTCAGAACCGACCGCACACACGCGCACACACACACACACACACGCACACACACCCCCGCGACACCGGCCGCTCCGAGAACCCTATCTGTAGAATGATGAGTGTTTCCACACGGGTTTCCAGAGCTTCACCCAGAGCCAATCACAGCGCAGTAAACCTCCCGCCCTGATAACCCACGACGACGAGAGACGCCTGGAAACATAAACTCCAAAAATCCAAAAATTCACAAAATCCAAATTATATTCCAATTCTAAAGGCAACACTTCAAGCTGGAGGATAAACGTGCAGCATCTCCTCCGGTCCACGAGAGGGCGCAAGCGAGCGCAGTAGCACAACAACCAAATCCAGCAAGTGTTAATGAAATGACATTCACTTTATAATTTCCTTAATGTGTGTGCAAGGAAAATCAGTTTACAATAGTGCATACAACTGTGTGTGTGTGTGTGTGCGCGCGCATCACTGACCAACTCACAGCGTGATGAACTACATGAACACACACACACCAGCAAACTGGCCTCCAGAAACACTCCAGTTCTACTCTCTACATCTACACTGCTCATCACACACACACACACACACACACACTCTCTCTCACTCTGAGCGCTTCCTGTTGACAGTGTTTCAGATGGTGAATACACACACTCCCCTCCGACTGATGTACAGCTTTGAACATTTTCCTACATTTTTTTTTTTTTTTGTAAATTTGACGAATATTCGAAAATTCTAATTTGTATTCGCCAGCCGCAGTGGCGACGAGTGACGAGCGATGAGTGGAGTGTGTACGGAGTGTGTGATGTGTGCCGGGAGCAGGACTGCACAGAGAGCTATACACACACACACACACACACACACGTGCAGTTTGAGACGCACCTGAGGACAGTTGAGGAGGAGCGTAACACACACTCACCAGTGATTCATTTCTGTCTGGGTGAAGGTCGTAAGTGCAGCACTATTTATACTCGCTGTGTGTGTGTGTGTGTGTGTGTGTGTGTTCTTGTAAACACAGTACAGCCTGAGACCGATCAGGGGAAGAACAAACGCCGGCGCAGACGGAGGAACGACTCACTCCAGCCTTTAATATGGCAGCAGTAACTCTTCAGCGTGTGGATTTTGGAGCAACATGAGAGTTTCATAGATTCATGAAATACGAGCGTCTTAAAGTCTTAAAGTCTCTGCAGTCCATCACTGATCCCTTCAAACTCCTCTCTGAGCAACTAAATGACTCATTTCAACGGTTTTCCTTAAAAAATAAAAGTTTTCATGCCTTAAAATATCTTGAATGTAACACGACACCCTCGCCTCATTTAGTATGCACGATTCTACAAATATGCAAATGAGCCCCGCCTCCACTCACTCGCTTGACGATCACTCGTTGATCTGATTGGTTACAAGGTGGTTTGTGACGTCAGAAACACCAGCGATTTCAAAGCGTGTTTTTGAGACTGTCTTTGGTTCACTGCAGCTTTAAGGAGGAAATACTCAGCAATGCTGTCCACTTATCAACGCACACATGTGTGTGTTACAGCGGATTAAACACACCACACACACACATAAACTACATTAAACACTGGAGTTTCACCACAGGGGGACTTTAAATAACCAAATAAATAAGTAATCGAACATATTATTAGATTAATGACCAATGTTAATTGAAAACCATTTACACTGTTTAAAATAAAATGACAAAAATGAAAAAAGCGTTTTGTCCTAAAACGAGAGCACAAGATTTCACGCAGCCAAATACATGTAGACGATATTTCTGAATGGTTACACCGTGTCCTAACTACACGCGACGCGATAAAATTCCAGCGACAGCAAGTGTGTCTGTCCACACGAGACGCGACGCGACTGTGAGATGCCGAACATTCAGAACAGCGTGTCGCATTAAATATGGGTAAGGACATAATCAAATCAAGAAATAACATTATTAAAAATCAAAACATTAACAAAATATACTCACTGACTAATTTTGTTATGAAGTACAGTCGTATGTTTGCATAGAATTAATTTTGAACGCTATATTACATGCTTTCATAATCTGAGGTAAATTATCCGTTATCACTTGTGGCACAGTGACCTATTTAACTAAAAATAAATGATGTGTAACTCATAACCAGTGTAAATTCTTCATTCTGTCAGCCGCGACGTCGCAGAAATAGGAACCGTTTCTAAATTAGAAACTTCGCGTGTCGTTGTCGCGTCGGGTTAGGACAAAAACTCTGATTAACATAGAAAAGATACCTTTTATCGCGTGTCGCGGCGTCGCGTCGCGTGTAGTTAGGACACGGTGTTAGCTGATGAATTTATGTAGTTCTCTTCTAGTTATTGATTAGCATATTTTGTCTTGATAATAACTTGTGTGCTGGGGGCGGGGTTATGTAAATCTTAGGGTTGGTGATGTCACTGACCCAGGAGGAAGCTCGTGTAGTTCTGCCAACTGTGTGTTGTAGTGTAACTGCAGATGTTATTTACACTCAAACAGCCACACTACACACTCACTACACACACACTACACACTCACTACAGCAACACTACACACTCACTACAGCAACACTACACACTCACTACACACTCACTACACACTCACTACACACTCACTACACACACACTACACACTCACTACAGCAACACTACACACCCACTACACACTCACTACACACTCACTACAGCAACACTACACACTCACTACACACTCACTACACACTCACTACACACTCACTACACACTCACTACAGCAACACTACACACTCACTACACACTCACTACAGCAATACTACACACTCACTACACACTCACTACACCAACACTACACACTCACTACACACTCACTACACACTCACTATACACACACTACACACTCACTACAGCAACACTACACACTCACTACACACACACTACAGCAACACTACACACTCACTACACACTCACTACACACTCACTACAGCAGCACTACACACTCACTACACACACACTACACACTCACTACAGCAACACTACACACTCACTACACACTCACTACACACACACTACACACACACTACAGCAACACTACACACTCACTACACACACACTCACTACACACTCACTACAGCAACACTACACACTCACTACACACTCACTACACACACACTATACACACACACTCACTACACACTCACTACAGCAACACTACACACTCACTACACACTCACTACACACACACTACAGCAACACTACACACTCACTACAGCAACACTACACACTCACTACAGCAACACTACACACTCACTACACACTCACTACACACACACTACACACACACTACAGCAACACTACACACTCACTACACACTCACTACACACACACTCACTACAGCAACACTACACACTCACTACACACTCACTACACACACACTACACACACACTACAGCAACACTACACACTCACTACACACACACTCACTACACACTCACTACAGTTGGAAAAGAGAAATCATAATTAACCGCCCCTTAAATGATTGATTATCAGTGCAAGAGCGTTTGGCTTTCGGCACGTTCACATCTCTAGGTTCTCCAGAAGCGAGAGTGAGATTATAACGGATTCTGGTTCTCAGCACTTTAAGAACAGGACCTGACCTTGGCTTCTCCCAGACACTCGGACTCGGACACCTGGTACGTGAGGTCGGTCTCCTCGAAGCCCGTGGCGCTCATGCGCTGGTCCGTGGACGGGTCGGAGCGCGGCGGCGAGTCGGGAGAGTTCAGGCAGGTCTGGATCAGAGCTTTGCCCGTCTCGCTGGTGATCATGGGCTGGAGCTTACGTGTGGCGAACGTGTAGACGTGACCCGTCTCGCTCGCCACCAGCAGCAGGACTTGAGTTCCCGTGAGCGTGGAGAGCTCGTACGCCTGAGAGAGAGAGAGAGAGAGAGAGAGAGACAGAGAGCGAGAGAGAGACAGAGAGAGTGAGAGAGAGAGAGAGAGAGAGAGAGAGAGAGAGACAGAGAGACAGAGAGAGAGAGAGAGAGAGAGAGAGAGAGAGAGACAGAGAGAGAGAGAGAGAGAGAGAGAGAATCAGCAAAACAAAAGCAGTTCTTCCACCGTCCGGCTCCGTCAAGTAAAGTCTCCTCTAGTCCGTCTCCTCATCCGTACAGTCTCACAGCATCTCTACACATAACAGCAGATTACAGTCACAGAGAGGGTTCTACAGCAGATCTACAATAGAGTTATTGTCCAGATAAAGTTAGTTTTGATTGATTCACTTCCGTTGTAAAGATCATTAGTGATTAACGAACACCACACCGCTCTACTGAACACAGAAACTATAGTGTGTGTTCTGGACGTTCACGAGATGAAGTCCTGCTCACTGATAAGTGTCTAAAAGTGCAGTGTGTGTGTGTGTGTGTGTGTTTAAGACAGGAACAAACATCCGTCAGTGGAGTCGGACATCATCATGTTCAGTAAATAACTCTGAATATCTTCATTAATATCTTCATTTCGCTTCTTCTCCAGTAAAAAAATGTTCATATCGGTGCATCACTGACACAAACTTCATCAAATATGAGACGTATTGATGATAAAGACTGGACCGCTGCTTCTCGCTCCTCATCAGAGTTCACAGGTCAGACTCTAATAATAGAGTCAGTGTGTGTGAGAGAATAATCATGAGGATGACCAGCACACCACACACACACACACACACACACACGTCCATCCATCATCATGAAGATCATACACAACACACACACACACACACAGCAGGAACGGCTCAGTTAGTGTGTGTTTCAGACCAGTTTCAGTGATTGTGAATCTTCGTCTCAATGCACGGACAGATTCCTCGTTTATTATCAAAACTAGCGAGACTAAACGACACAACACTCGTTCAACACCCGTGTGTTCAACTAACGCGAGGGAAATAAGGAAGAATCGTAAAAACAACAACAACAGGTGCTGAACACCTCCACCCTAATAACATCATAAACCAGTTCTTGATGAACACACACACCAGGCATGTTCTGGTCTCATTATAGAGATGTTTTTGTTGTTATACGTAATTATATGTTACGGAAGTCTTCATAAAGCACCTTCTAATTGCAATGTACGACGTGTGCAAAGACAATAAAAGCTTTTTACTGATAAATAAGGAGGATATTACAGCCTTCACACACACACACAGATTTAGTAACACTGCAGAAGTGACGGTGGATGTGTGTGTGTGTGTGTGTGTGTGTGAGGAGCAGCTGGAGAGTTCTGGAGATCTCATCACGTCTGCGTTTGCTCAGCTGTCCCGTCACACACACCACAGATCACTATACTACTGCAACACGTGTGTGTGTGTGTGTGTGTGTGTGTGTGTGTGTGTGTGTGAGAAAGCACATTTGTCTGACGTTTACGGCTTCATTCACTCGCCTTTTGCAGAAAACTGTGATTTTACCAGCAGTGAATGCCTGATCATAGAGATGCACACACAACTAACCGTACAGAGCGTTCATCGAAGCACACGCTTGGCATCATAATGCATCGGTTCTTGCTTTCATGCAGAAGTTTTTTTAAAAACACATTTGGACTGACATAAATGTGAGCAAAGAGGATTTTATGGTGAGCTGTGGCTTTAAGGGCTGGATTCGGGCACTCTCTCGCCCTTGTCTTTTCTCTAAGTTGGGGATATTTAATTTAATATTCAGCATATTATTGACCTCCTGCACTGACGGCAGTATATGAGAACTGGACGATGATGACATCACGGTTTACTCCAGAGAAACTGAATGAATAACTTTAGCATCACTAAACACCCTGAAGCTGGACTGACGCTATTCTCTTCTACAAACACACTTTGCTGCATCATTTCCCTGTTATCGGTGTGAAGCGGCCTCCTCCGCGCGGGTCCGAGTGTTAGCGGGTGTTAGCGGGTCAGCTGGAGCTGCTGCTCTGTAATAGAGAATGTCAGTCGCCGGGTCTATTTAAAGCTCAGTCTGTTGTGACTTCAGATCATCTCCTGAAGGACAAGACATGTGACACTAGAGAGACCCACACACACTCTCCTGTACTCCTGGACGGGTCAGACGAGTCGCTGAGTTCAGAGCCGTGACTCGACCGCAGACGAGAGGAATAAAGTCAATATTCAGCACTCGTCCCGACTCAAGGGTTCGATCACCCAGTAAACTGTCCTGGCTCTTCCCAGCTTTATCATGGGAGTTATTGGAGTATTTAATGGCCATAAAAAAAAAACGGGTCGGGTCAGAGGTCACTCATCATGTGTCAGGTCAAAGGTCACTCTTCCACCGGAACTAGACTCGCGCTCAGCCATGATTATAGTTCATAAAGCAGTAAATATGGATGTGGCTTCAGAAGGCCTTTCCTAACCCCTGACTGCACTGTTATGGAGGAGGCTTCAAAACCTCGTCTCGTCAGAGCCAGGATATTCTTTAATATAACTCTGATCGTGTTCGTCTGAAAACAGAAAGTCAGATACACCTAACATGGCGAGAAAACTATAGGATCATTTTCATTTTTGAGAGAACTATCCCTTTAAAGCCTCCAGATTTCATCTCCCTGCTGTCTAGGAGAAACAGCTGTTAGTTTTATGATTACAAATTAACCATTAATATTAATCACAAGAATCTAATTAAAGCAAGTTTTTGAATTAACCTCCTTTTATTTATGTTTGTTAAAATTTGCAATAAAAAAACTAGCCATTAACATGTTTTTGTTGCCAGGGTCAGTTCTCCTGTGTTGATCAAGAACACTAGCAGGACTCGAACCTGCAACCCTTCAGTTACCAGCAGCCCTTTCCACTGACTTCAGCACTCATTTCTGGCTGATAACAGAATGCTCTCCTTATAGTAAAATCACGAACAAGCATTCTCTGAAACAGTGTGAAAAGTGCAATACGAATAATGGAATTGTAATGATGTTCTCATAAAGTTCCCCACCTTCTTCATGATGCCCGTCTTCCTCTTGCTGAAGGTGGTGTACCTCCGCAGTTTGTTGTCTATAAACTCCATCTTTATCTTGACTCTGCCTCGGGTCTTCTTGCCCGGTTTGGCTCCGGCCACTCCACCGGGGAGCCCCCCGAACCCCGGCGAGGGCAAGCCGGCCTCCCGCGCCTCCATCACAGCCTCCATCTCGGCTCTCTCCCGCTTGACTCCGGTTCTCCCCCGGCCGTCCGTGACTGACCCCACGGGCTCGTCCTCATCGCCCGAGTCGGAGTCCGCGTCAGACCCGCTGCACAACCCCTGTTTATCCGGATCGAATCTCAAATCTCCCACAATCCCTGCAGCTTGTAGCGGCCCGAGTCCGGTTGCGATCACCGGTCGTACGCCGCCTCGCTGGGCTCCGGTTCCCCCGAGCGTCCCTACCGGAGAGGAGCGGACGAGCCCGGTCCGAACCCCGGCTCCGATCACCACCGCGCCGTGACCCGCACTCTTCCCCGCCGCTCCAGTCTGACTGGATAACATCATATAACCGAAGGGAACGATCCGTTTAACGGCAGCGGAGCGCTTGAGCGACGGTCAGTGTGAGAGTCAGCCGCTCATACAAACTGCGCGAAACTTTGAAAAGTGATGCTGAACCTGAGCGCTCTCTCTCCCGCTTCACCTGGAACTCCACGCGTTCTCTAAAAGGATAACCAGACCTCCGCGATTACTCCGCCGCGTCATCTAGTCTCCCGTTTAAACACGTGGAATCATCGATCATTTCCACGTAGATATTTTCACGCTGCTCTAACACATCGTCTGAACACTGATAGCTGTCAATCATCACACTGAGGGCGCTCATAAAGCAGTTATTGTGCGCAAACGCGGAGTGATCTGCACAAGCCCGATCTACTTGCTTCCATATAAAGAAGTACGCTGTTTCCTTTTTTGGAGTTCTCGCTCCTTATATGGCGAGTCACAGTCAAGGCCAGTGATTGGCTCGTGTGGGGACGGCCTGGAGCGCGGTTGGTTAAAGCGTTATGAAATTTGCATAAATACCAAAACGGTTGCGCTCGCTGCAAACGTCACAGCAGAGGGCGGAGCATCTGCTGAATTATTCTATAAATAGATGCAGGTTAGTAACGTTATCAAAGTTATTTTAGTCAGATATCTGTGTGCTAAACCACTGATATTAGAAGAGATCACAACAGAAGACCAACCCTGCATATAGTTACTAATATTAATAGCAAATATCGCTCTATTTCTCAGTAATCTCGCAGAATAACTACACACACACACACACATAAACAAACCAAACAATAATTTAATTGCACTCCAACAACGATTTAAGGAACTACATCATCAGTGGTTCCCATAGAAACGGTCATAGAAGCCTCAGATGAGGGAGAGGAGGAGGACATGTTCTTCATCAGAACATAAACTAAAGGACAAAACCAAGAGTTCAAGAACATCTCAATCATAAACACACATATTATATGCATAAGTTTGTATTTAGCTTAATGTTTGGTATTTGTATATAAGTTTTTTATGTTATGCACATTTCTTCATAAACACAGAACTGAATTTCATCATAACTGAGTTTATTGTGCAACTTTAAACTTTATTGTGAATTGAGTTCAGGTTATGTGTGTGTGTGTGAAGCACATTTCAGTCACATAATAAACATGCTTTTGTGAATCATGATTATGGCATGGTCAAAATGATGATATTTCTACAGAACTGCTTTATAGATGACATGAACTAATGTAATGATGGATGATCAGACCAGAACACACACACACACACTCTCTCTCTCTCACACACACACACACAGCGCCCTCTGCTGTCCTATAACAGATATGAACCCACAGTGACAGAAACGCCTGTGTTGGAACATCAGTATTCTCTTTTCTGTGTGTGTGTGTGTGTGTGTGTGTGTGATAATCATCATCAGAATCCCCATCTAATATAATAACTGCATCATCTGATCAATCCCACATGGAGAGAGAGCAGATCCGAGACTGGATTCAGACTCTGGAGCACACACACGCACACACACACACACACACACACACACACACACACACACATAGCCGGGTTGATAAAAACTGTGTTTAATGAGCAGCATTACATCAGGGTGTGTGTGTGTGTGTGTGTGAGACCACAATAACGAACACTTGCACAAACATGAAAACAACAATCATAAAAATACACAGGAAACGATTATATAAAAGCAGTTCTTAAAAAAAAACACACATTAACGGCATTACAAAACACACTGTAGAAACTGAGAAGAGAGAAACAAGTCCTTCATGTTGGAGGCACTTTATCAGTAACAGTCCGAGACGAGACGACCACACACTCAACACACACTCCTCAACACACACACTCAACACACACTCCTCAACACACACCACTGACAGGAATATTCAGATTCATTCATTAAATGACATGTTTAGTTTGCTCACAACTACCTGATCAAACATCTCAGCCATAACTAGTAAAATATATATTTGCTATATTAATTCCCACAACTTTCCCAGGAGTCAGAAATCAGACTAAAACAAAACATAATAAACGTGATTTTGACTTTTTATCTCACAATTCTGACTTTATAACTCGCAATTGTGAGATAAAAAGTCGCAATGATCTTTTAATTAAAGGCGTTATTCTGTGGTAACCCAGCAGTGTGTCCTGTGACCCCGTGACCCCGAGGCCCTCTAGTGGACGCGCCGAGAACCGCTGATCTCAATCACACACACACACACACACACACAGAACTGCGATTCATCATGGCTTCATCTGAGGCATTGCATATTCATTTATTACAACAGTCACTTGTGTGCACCTCAAAAAAACATAAAGATCCTATTATCATCATCATCATCATCATCATCATCACCACAGCGCAGACGATCCTCCTCTTCCTCAAGTGTCTCCAGCTCTACACACTCTTACATCGAGATGCATTCACTGGAGAAGCAGCATGACAGGAGATATCGAGTTTATGCTGAAACAAGAACAATATTACAAAAAAGTACAAAAAAATAAAAAATAAAAAATACTGAGGAGGAACATCATTTCCTGACGCGACATCATCCTGTGGAAACACTACACACACACACACACACACACTGATTCCCCCTCCTGCATCTGTGGCCTGATGGAGCTGTGATTGTCAAGAGGTCAGAGGTCAAAGTTCTGACATGAAGCTCTTCTGGCGTCCCTGAGGAGAGCAGCAGGTGTGTGTGTGTGTGTTTAAGGCGGGTGAAGGCCTGATCCTGAGCGTGTGTGTGTGGCTGCAGATCCTGAGCGCGTCTGAAGTGTGTGTGTGTGTGTGTGTGTGTAGTGATGATGCGCTAGACTTTAGTGTCTGCGGGCACACGGGCCAGAGTCTGAGCGATCTCGCTGAAGGAGGGCCGATCTTTAGGACTGGACGCCCAGCAGCGCATCATCAGAGAACAGACGTGAGCCGGGCAGCCTTCGGGAGGAGACGGGGTCACATGACCAGCCTGCAGAGCTGAGACACACACACACACACACAGCTAAGACCTGCACAAATACTGTATGTCTTTACAATCTCAAAATAAAGGACTTTAATCAACAGGCTACAAAATTAAAACATATTTAAATCAATATATATATATATATATACTAATATATCAAAACTATAACATAAAACAAACACAGATCAAAACTCGCGGCTTCACTACAGCGGCGTAACTCGCTTCAAATCTTTCTCAGTAATTTTGCTTTATTTCCAGATTCAATCGTAGATTTAAATCTCCCGCCAAACTAAAGGACGTAAAGGACGTTTGTGAAACACACAGCGCTACTGAATGTCTGATTGCTTATTTTGCTGAAGATAAGCATTGATTGAGTCCTCACGTCCTGCAATCTAGAAACTCTTCTTCTAACCGCAGGACGGTGCTGTTCGCGAACGTTCGATGCTTTCGGGAAACACAGACTCGTTCAAATGAGGATGACGATGGAACTTGCAAATATAGTTGGCTAACGATGCTTTCAGGAAACACAGCCCTGTATGGATTGACGCCTGTGGTCATGTGACGCCTGTGGTCATGTGACGCCTGTGGTCATGTGACGCGCTCACCTTCGAGCAGCTGCTGATGATCGAGCTGATGGTACGGCGTCTCCCCGAGACTGAACACTTCCCACATGAGCACAGCGAACGCCCACACGTCTGACTTACTGGAGAACTCGCCGTCAAACACGGCCTCGGCCGGGAGCCAGCGCAGGGGAAGCCAGGCCTGCCTGTAGAGGTGGTACTCGCTGCACACACACACACACACACACACGTTTACTTAGCTATTTAAATGGATACATTACATAAACGTAATGGTTCTTATACGGTAGAAATGGTATATTCTGTCCCCTTACACAAACCCCACCCCTAAACCTACCCATCACACACACACACACACACACACACACATCAGACCAGCTGTGACTGACTGACATCTCCACTAGATGGCGCTCTTCATGCGTGTAAGACTGCACCAGATCTCACAGGAGAAGCTCCTCATGTTTTCCTTTTAAACTATTTTAAAGGCTAATGAATGTTTCACGTCTCCTACAACAGCTTACAGGGCCAAACACACTAAAGTTATCCTCATATGTTGGACAATATATTTTAATACGTCTAATATGTTTTCTCATTCACACTGAAACGATGTGGTCCGCTGGTGATTCGATCGAATAGTTGTAGATATCAGGGTATTTCACATTCAGGAAGGTAAGGAAACGGGATATAGACCAATAAAATGTAACTTCTCCATATCTGTCCTCCTCTCAGGTTCACACGCGGTGGTGAAATAAGCAAAATCAACATAGTTAAAATTATGAATGTTTTTGTTTGTTTTTCCAATATCATGTGGCGTTCCAGATGGCAGTTCTCAGAGTAGTTGCTCTGTCTCGAATGATCCCCTTTTATGTCCGGCAGCTTATAAGAATGTATTTCTGGGTTGTTTAGCGTGTTTGCTGTACACCTCGTCACACGGCAGCTTTTGGACATCGTTTTGTTTTTTATCATAAGTCATAAATGACAAGGATGAGATGCGGACAGTGGCGATGGCGTGTGTTTCACCGTCTCGCTCTCAGAAAACAGCGTCTCCTCGACTCTTTCAGTCTCAGATACACTAGTGTTAGAGGGCGGGGCTTAGAGACGCTGCTCAGCCAATCAACAGCACAGACTGACATTATCAGGATCAGCAGGAAGTGAGACCGAATTACTGACGACTCGTTTCAGTTCAGAATCGGTTCTTTCTGATTTCTCTCATCTTTGAGACACTGCAGATCGTTCACGTTCATGACCATCGCTCTCACACACACACTGAACCGTCAGCACTGCCGCACCTGTTATAGACGTCCGTGCTGAGCGCGAGCGAGGACACTTTGACGAGTCTCTGTCCGCTGATCAGACAGTTCCTGGCCGCCAGGTCTTTGTGCACGAAACGCTGCTCTGATAAATGCTGCATCCCATCAGCCACCTGGGCACAGATGGAGAGCTGCAGAGAGCAGTCACATGATCAACACCGAGTCACATGACTTCTTGAACACACTGGATGAGGTCATGGGAACTTACTTTAGTTTTGGTGCTGATGGGATGAGGCTTGAGTTTCCCGTCGCCGCTGTTTGATATCCTGAGGAACTGCTTCAGATCACCCTGAAAAACAAGAGCCAATCAGTGTGTGTGTGAGTGTGTGTGTGTGTGTGTGAGTGTGAGTGGCTGTACCAGATCCACGTATTCCAGGATCATGTACTGCGGGTGAGCTTCTCGGCAGACTCCCAGCAGCCTCACGATGTGTGTGTGTTTGAGTTTGCTGAACATCTGCATCTCTCGTCTGAACTCGGACTCCTGATCTCGACACTGCAAACTCTTCACCAACACCAGCGTCTCGTCCTCGGACTCCTCGATAGCCCTCGCTTTAGCCAGAAACACCTCGCCGAACACGCCGCGCCCTGCACACACACACACACACAACCACCACTAAACCTATCAATGTATTAAACAATATTAATAAACTAATATGTTATGATTTCTAGAAGTTAGGTATAATGATATCCAAATATGTACGCTGGTGTTCAAAAGTTTGGAATAATAAGATTTCATTATGAGTCTCTTCTGCTCATCAAAGCTGCATTTATTTGATAAAAAATACAGTAAAAACAGTAAAAATATTCTAACTTTCTATGTGAATATCGAGTAAAGTGTAATTTATTCCTGAGTTTATCATCATTACTCCAGTCTTCAGTGTCACATGATCACTCTAATGTGAGGATCTGATGCTCAACACACAGTTATGATGATTATCAGTGTTGAACAGGTCATATTAGTGTGGAGAGCTGTATTATTCACACAGGAGTTACCCAGTGTGGTGATGGTCTGCAGGTGCGCTCTGGGAAAGTGCAGTTTGTCAGTGTTTGCTGGAGGTCTCATGGTGGTTAAAGCCACTTCTTCCTGGACCTCAGCCGGCCTGTGGCCGTTCATCTGAACAGCGCCACCTACAGGAACACACACACACACACACACTTCAGATGTCAGCTCTGGTTCATCTGTAAATAAAGAGGGTTGAGGACAGTGAAGGGTGAGAGAGGACCAGACCTGCACTGTTGTGTTTATATGTGGCGGCAGTTGACCGTGAGGGGCTTTCGTTTACTTTCGTTTTTGTATGTTTATTTTTTTATTAAAAGAGTTTAAATATTCGCCGGTTCCTGCCTTCTTCTTCCCATAACAACGAACATTGCTACAATTTAGACTCAGATCAATATTATCTGTTTAATTATTTACTTATGTGGCAAGTAGCTGTGTAATAACGGGATAACATACATCCAGCTGGTTGTTATCTCAGAATAAAGCCCTTCAGGTGTGTGTGTGTGTGTGTGTGTGTGTGTGAGAGAGATGTCAGGTGTGTGAGTGTGTGTGTGGGTTGTTGTTTTGATGCTTACAACAGGCTCTTTGTGAATGTTTGGATGCTGTGTTGTTTTAATCAGTATTGGTCATTCCAAATAAAAGAATCAAATGTGTGTGTGTGTGTGTGAGAGAGAGAGAAAGAGTGATCTCAGAATAAAGCCCTTCCGGCTGATAGTAGAGCTGATCCTGATCACTGTCGGGTTTATTCTGAGATGACGACCGGCTGGATTTACATTATCCCTTACTCAAATGATCCACACACACACACACACACACACCGTTCAGACACTCCATCTCGGGCTCGTCTGCGGCGGGGCTCTTCTGCAGACGCCTGCTCTTGCGTCTCTGTTTGCAGTAGAACATGAGTCCCAGCACCGCGATGATGTAGGCCACGGCCACGGCCACCGACAGCGCCAGCGTCTGGAACATCCGGAACTGGCTCTTGTCCTCGTCTCCATCGCGCGGGTGCACCGGCTTCTCTGAGGACACACACTCAACACCTTTACCACACTCACACACGTACTATTATTAATCAGAACAAACAATTATTCCCCCAACTGATAAATAGAGTAGTAATAGTAATAGTGTAGCTGAAACAGTAGAGCGCTGGCGCTGCAACACCAAGGTCATGGGTTCGACTCCCAGGGACAGCAGCTGATAAGAATGTAAATGTGAACCTCGATATGCGTCGCTTTGGATAATAGCATTGGCCAAATCTAAATAAATCTTCAAGATGATCATGTGATCGGATCCTGGGCCGCGGTTGTGATGGAGAGTTTTAGGATAACAGTTTTTCAGTAACTGTATTGGTTCGTCTGCACTGGACAAACACTGAACTGAATTAATCTGAATAATAACACTGTTGTCTTCTGTAGAGCTGCTCAAATTGAGCTTTTTTCATAATTAGTGCATTTCACAACATTAACACTGTTATTCTGCTGTTTATTACCGAGAAACAATCAGTTTAAAGTGCTATAGATATAAATGTGAAATGAAGTTGCAAACACTATATGATCTGTGCAAGTCTGTGTTGCTCACCCACGACGTAAAGCTGCGCGGTCGAGTCTCTGATGCTGCAGGTGTTCCCCGCGATACAGGTGTACATGCCCGTGTCATCAGTGGTGACATCACTAATGACCAGAGAGCCATTGGGCATCTTCTGAAACCTGAGGAGAACACACACATAATCAGCACACGTGAAGGATCATCCAGTCTCGGAGGCGCAGTGAGACGGGCGCAGTGAGATGGGTGCAGTGAGATGGGTGCAGTGAGACGGACGCAGAGAGACGGGCGCAGTGAGACGGGCGCAGTGATGGCGCAGTGAGATGGGTGCAGTGAGATGGGTGCAGTGAGACGGGCGCAGTGAGACTGGCACAGTGAGATGGGTGCAGTGAGACGGACGCAGAGAGACGGGCGCAGTGAGACGGGCGCAGTGATGGCGCAGTGAGACGGGTGCAGTGAGATGGGTGCAGTGAGACGGACGCAGAGAGACGGGCGCAGTGAGACGGGCGCAGTGATAGCGCAGTGAGACGGGTGCAGTGAGACGGGCGGAGTGAGACGGGCGCAGTGAGACGGACGCAGTGAGACGT